GGAAGGAAGGAAGGAAGGAAGGAAGGAAGGAAGGAAGGAAGGAAGGAAGGAAGGAAGGAAGGAAGGAGCAGGATAAAGAAAGGAAGGAAGGGTTAGGGAATGGGGAAAGTGGGATGTAGAAGAGAGGGCTAGTGGAAGGAAGGAAGGAAGGAGGGAGGGAGGAGAGAGAGAGAAATAACTAAAGAAATAGATAACTTCCGACCTTCTTTTCAACAGATAGTAACAGACCCATCATCTCCCCTCTCTTTTCACTGGTCCAGAAATCCCTTCAGCCCCTTATTTAGTTCTCATCCCTTCCAATCATTAAATCCATAAAGCCGCTGCTGCCGCTGCTGTGGAAGGCGACGCTTCCTCTGCGTTTCCCCCGAGGCCTCCAACGAAGCGAGAGCTACGAAGGGCCGGCGGACGGGCGCGAAGAAGCTGCCCGGTTACTACGCTCGCAGGAACTCTGTTCGTACCAAATATGATATTTGAATCACATTTTTACCAAACGGGCCCCTCGATACCTAAAGCCATCAAGTATTTCAGCAGCGATCGCTTTTGATATCACGTTATTTCAGATTAATAAATGCTGATCCTAATGAGATCTTTATGCCTGGCCTTGTGGAAGCTGACATTCCATGCGGAGAATGACAAGCACTGCCTTATTTTCGAAGAAAAACAGCCTTCTAACAGGACGGTTGGTTTTTTCATTAACATAAAATAAAATAGAATTTGTAGTACTTACTGAATTCCTTTAAAAAAAAAACCAACATTTTTTGATAGCGTAGCTTGTATAGAGTAGAGTGGATGGAAAATCTGCAGCCTTCCAGGTTAAAGTCGAGCTGTTGCCCTGACTTGCCGAGCACAACCCAAAGAAAATATTTCTCATAATAAGGCAAACGTAGGCCTTTTTTCTAATTTTTAAATCATTTTGAAGGGTTTTTCTTTGTTATGACCACATCATAGAGCAAACCTTAATTAGCTGGGGTCAGTTTTTACTTGCTTTATTTGTAACAGATCTATAAAGTACGGGAGAAGATGGTGAATGGTTCCACTTCGTGACCACATGTGTGGTGTCTTTTCCACAAATTATCCTATACCTTAAAAGAAGTTTCCCCTGAAAGATGACAAAGTTGGATTCTTCTACCAGGGGGAAAAAATTGTAGGAGGATTGCTGTGTGCTGGTCTCGGATAGCCCCAAATCAGAAGGAGTCTGGTAGCCCCTTTTCTAACAAGTTTTATTCAAAGGCATAAACTTTTGTACGCTGCAATGAAAACGGATGCCTTTGAATAAAATTTGTTAGTCAGAAAAGGGGCTACCAGACCCCTCCTGATTTTGGGGGGGGGACTGATGTAGCAATTTTAACAATTAGCCAGCAGATGATGCTCTTAGCATACATTATAAAAGGAGTCAGATAATCCACTGATATTTCTTATTCACAAATCATGCTAATGGTGCAACTATAACGGAGGAGAAAGAAAGTTTCTTCATTAAGTTAGCTGAAATACCAGCTTTCCTTATTTTGCCGTTCCCTCTCCAAATATGTTGGCCTGTCACTGAGTCATACAGGCGGATCCATGTTTGAAAAGCTAGCCTGGGCAACTAACATCCTAGTACTTCTAAAGAATCTAAACATCTTGACTGTATTGGGATGGGGAAGACTTAAATCAATACTAGGGTCAGAAAACTTTGCAGAAGTCCCTCAAAACCTGGTTGTGCCATCAGGCCTGGGGATCTCAGGGGACTAGTGAGATACTGAGGTGACTCCATTGTTATTAACATCTGCTCTTTGCCTAACATTGGTTTTCTTTTAGCCTTGTGTTTTTATAGTTTTTAAAAGTTTCTAAATAAAAATAATAATTGTCCTGTATCTATTAATGATTTTTCAGCCTTGCTGTATACTGCTCATAGTCACTTGTTTGTGAGATGGGCGGCCATATAAATTTGATGAATAAATAAATAAATAAGGCGCCTATGGACATTTATGACTCTGTCTTTATTTTTTCATTGTTTCTACTTTTTTTATGTATAAGCTGCCCAGAGCTGTTTGGAGTTGGGTGGTCTCTAAATTGTATTAAAGAATTTAACAATTTAAAACAGCAGTCTCTGAAATTTGTTAGTGAGCTATCGTGCACAAGGGAGGGAAGTGGTACTGACAGATGCTGAAGGATAATTGCTCTGTTCTAATGTCCATTCATCCAGTCGTAACTTTTCTACCATTTTGCACATGTCACAGGCATGAATCCTTGAAGCCCTACAGTGGGCAAGAACCCTGTGTAGTCTGCCTCTGATGCAGTCACATTGCTCTGGTCCAGCGCAGGAACTTCATTGGGCTATGTTCATTGGAGTCAAGCAGCATATAAATTTAATTAAATAATAATAATAGTAATAACACCCCAGACTTAACAATTGTTGATAAGAAAGACAAAAAAAGTCTGGATAGTGGATATTGCAATACCTGGAGACAGCAGAACAGAAGAGAAGGAACTGGAGAAAATCGCACAATATGAAGACCTGTAAATAGAAATAGAATGACTGTGGCAAAAGAAAGCAAAGGTAGTTCCAATAGTTATAGGCACCTTAGGTGCAATCACAAAACATCTGGAGCACCCCTTGAAGACCCTCGGCAGTGACGCAATCACCACCAGTCAATTGCAGAAGGCAGCTTTGCTTGGAACAGCTTATATCCTGCAACAAAACCTTTAGCACCATCAAACAACAACACCTGCCTATCCCAGGTCTTTGGGAAGGGCTCGATAGGTGGAGAAAAATGCCAAATCCAATCTAAACATCTGGCTGACTGTGCAACCAACAATAATAATATGTCAACTCTCAGCCTGAGTACAGGTAGTTCTAGCTTAGCAACTGTCTCAGACAGTGACTGTTCGCAGTTACGACAGTGATTAAAAATAAACTTTGTGACCAATGCCCACATTTACGACCTTTCCAGCATCTCTCACCATTACAGTCAGTCGGTATGCATTGTCGTGTGCCTGACCTGTTTTTTCCTTCCCCCTCACACCTCACAGAGCAGAGAGATTGCTTAAACAAGCTATCTCTTTCTAAACTGCTTTTCTCTGCAGGGCAGCACATCTCTAAAAACTGCTAACTGCAAGTGAACAAGATTAACTCTGTGACTTTCATCAGTTACTTAGAAGACCACTGGCCTGTGCTCCTATGTGACACTGACAAGACCCTAATCAGTTTCACACTGAAGACTTTTGTTTGTGGCTTAAGTGGCCGGTGGTGAGCACCCTAGGCCAACAGCCAGTGTTAACACATCCCTTTCTGCAATGGTATGGGGGAAAGACCTTGGGAGTCGGGGTGAAGAGATGCTGCCTAGGGAATGGTCAGAGACAGCATAGCCTGCAGCTGGATAGTGGGTGGGACAAGAAGCTTAGAAGGGATCCTCCCTAAGTTCTTGGGCTGTAAAGGTGATAGTGGAAGAATTGTACTTTCAGATTTGCAAGATTCTGTTAATGTAGCTTTATAATAAAGTAGAATTAGTTCATCTGGTTGTGTTTCCTGTCTGATCTACCTGGTAAGGCTGACACTTTCAATGTGGATTCTCCATTGTGTGCCTGCTTACTCTCTTGTAATCCCTTCCTCTCCAATGAATGAAAATAAAAATATTATTTCCTTCTTGCTAATTATCCCAGCACTGGGAGCGTTCCCGAGGATGAGGGAGTGGGGAAAAAGGGCTATCAGATTTGCCTTTTTACCCGGCTTCCTTGTGAGTTGAGCTCTAGCAACCTTCCCCACTGTTTGGGCTCACCCGACTGTTTGGAGTTATATCATGCTGACACTGTAAAGCAAAGGAAAGTAAAGCACAGTCATGGTCACATGGTTTTCCACTTAGCGACCGCTTCACTTAATGACCGGTCCCAATTGTGGTCACTAAATGTATCTGTTCAAAGGCAATTTAGGGCCATCTGTGTCTCCTCTGCTCCAGCAGGCAGTTGCTGTTTTACATGAATTCCCATGTTATCCTTTGCAAGGACTCCTAGTTATATCTCCCTATCCCTCTATAGGAGTATTCAGTCTGAAATGTCACTGTATGCATCACCTCAGACATCGCAGCTTTGCCATGCTGTTATGCAAGAGATGTTTCATATCTCCAGTTATCCTTTTCTTTCATTCTGAGTGGCTACAGTTCTCCGGATTACTGAAGAGCTATTCCAGGAACATTAAACAATGTATTCGTTTTATTAATTTAGCAGTGGTTATTCAATAACAGCTCAATATTTTTATTTCTTTTGCTCGAGTTGAGTGTGCTGTCATCGTGTGTATATATTCAGC